TGTGTGTGTGTGTGTGTGTGTGTGTGTGTGTGTGTGTGTGTTTTAGTGGGTAATGAATTAAATTTAATCTCCAAATTGCTCCTAATTGAACAGCATGTAGCTCAGAAAAGATTGCAAACACTTCAGTTGGGATTGATAAACATCAGGGCTGCATTATTATAATATGTAATCAGGTTCAGACAGTGATAAATCAAAATGTGTCAGGACTGCTTTATATGTTCTTCTCAAGGTTAATTCATAATGAACTTGTGTTCACGTCAAACCAAACCCTTTTCTGCAGCCGTGACACGATTTTGCTTTTTCACAGTGGCTGCTGGGAGGAGGCAGAGCCTGAGGGGAGGTTTACAGAAATCAACAAAGAGCAAACTGTCAGAGGAAAGGCAGTCTGGCAAGATAAAAACTCATCTTTGGAGGCGTGACGTGTTGCTGTGTGCAGAGCAGGGATGTAATGTTCCTTACCTGGATGTTGAGTGAAATGCTGATGAGGACATTCCCACATATGGAGATGATAATTCCCAGGAGATAATTCTGTGCAAACAAACAGTAAACAAGCAGATTAAGCAACGCTCTATTTGCCAAACAACAACTCCACACAGCCCATAATACTCGCTGCAAGTCTTATCTCCAGCTGTCACATCTGGCATTTCCATGACAACCACTTCACTGTCAGTGGGTGCTCTCCTTTTAGATTCAAGTTTTGGATGTGTGGAAAATATAATTCTTTAAAACACGCACACACATCCTTGTACTTCCATCAAACTGAGGACTTTGCATTGACTTCCATTCATTTTTGTAACCGTGTTTATGCCTGACCCAGACATTTTCCCTAAAACTAACCATTGCTGGTCTGTAGCTAACCCTAACCTGAACCAGAACTTAAAACAAACCATACCTCTAAACCTAGCAGACCGCTGTAAAACTGCAAAAAATTGAGGACCAGGAAATTGTCCTCACTTCCCAAAAATGACCTCACTTTGATGGTTAAAAACTTACAATATGATGGTCCTCACTCCATAGCAGAAACAAGTACACACACACACAGATATGTGTAATACTTTATGGGATCAATAAAGTATTATCAATCAATCAATCAATCAATCAATCAATCAATCAATCAATCAATCAATCAATCCAGACACATGCACACTCACACAATTTGTATTTCGATTGTTATTAGGACAGTGTACTGACTTCCATTCATTTCTGTGTGGCCTAGCATGACCCTTACCCTAAACCTAACAAAAAAAATAGCATATTAGGCCAAGTCTTGGTTATATCATAAACGGTCCTAAAAAAGTAAAAACCAGGTACACACACATGCACACAGGAAAGAAACAGACCATAATAACAAGACATTCAATCCAGTTGAAAAATACAAACACTCCCTTCTCTAAAAAAGTCTTACATGACATCTGACACCTATAGCTGCAGGTTGGTTCACACCTCCGACACTCTGATCAGACCACTGGTTCAAGTGTCTGAGTAAAACAGCTAATATGCTCAAGATCTTAATCTACTAAACATGCACAAAGAATGATTAATCTTTTCACTACAAAACCACTAAAACTGAGATACTTGTAAATACACTGTCCAGCCAAAATAAAAAGCCCCCACCTGGGTTTAACTAAGATCTATGATGTGGGGTTGCTGCAGATGTTCAGGTCTAGGTTCAGCAACAGTCTGAGCTCAAAGAATGAGGTCAGCTGACTACCTGAATATACTGAATGACCARGTTATTCCATCAATGGACTGTTTCTTCCCTGATGGCACGGCCATATTTCAAGATGACAATGCCAGGATGCATGGGGCTCTTATTGTGAAAGAGTGCTTCAGGGAGCATGAGACATCATTTTCACACATGGATTGGCTCCACAGAGTCCACTGAGAATCTTTGGGATGTGCTGGGGAAGGCTTTGTGCAGCGGTCAGACTCTACCATCATCAATGTAAGATCTCGGTGAAAAATTTATGCAACCCTGGATGGAAATAAATCTGGTGACATTGCAGAAGCTTATCCAAACAATGCCACAGAGATTGTGTGCCGTAATCAAAGCTAAAGGCGGTCCAACCAAATATTAGAGTGACCCTTTTTATAGTGGCAGGGCAGTGTAGTATTCAGGTTAATGAACCCTTATTTTTGTAAAAAATAAACCTTAAAATCATCTGACTTTATTCCATGACTTAAGTTCAATTTTTTTCATTGTACTTCATGTTTATCCTAGACCTCAAAGTGTTTGTTTACTGAATTCATTAGGAAAGCAGGAGTGCTTGGTTTGAAATTTAAATTCATTTTATGATATCTCACAAAACAACAAAAACAGCAAACCATTCTCTGATGGGGAGTTTATCCAAGAGTGTTTGGAGGAGTTTGTTCACAAATGTTAATATTTTAGTGTCTGTTTTTTGGGCAGGGCTTGTCAGTGGACTGAACAGCACATTTTCTACCTCATGAAGTCATCAGAAAATGGCATAAATGAACTAAAACATGTTTTTTTCCGAACCTTACTAAATGGTCATCAAAGTCAGCAGGACTCAATAAATTTTATACACAGTTTGATGGCTTTTATGTAAAAGCTGTTAGTTTAAATCAATGATGTGGACTGACTGATGATGGGTATCTAAAAGCATTGAAATGCTCTCAGACTTTATAAAAGCAGATTTCACGAGAACAACGGACATCTTCATTTGTGAAATCCCACAAACAGTCATAACTTTAAGTTTGAATTCTTAACTACTTTTTAAGGTCATTTAAAGAAACATATGGGTTGTTTTTCACTCCCATATGCTGGGAAATATTTTGCCAAGAAGAAATTTAATTTCAGGTCATCAACATATCTCATTGCTGTGGGGGAAAAATTGTAAAAAAAAAAGTTTGAAGGATGAAACCTGAAGCTGCAAACCCACTTTCTGCAGAAGTAATAAAGGATGTCAAGTTTATCTTTATTATACGAGAGCAACTGAAGGTTGGAAGAGAAAAACTACATGAAAACAAACAAAAAAGAAAAGAAACAACAAAGTAGCAGAGTTTAAACAGAGCGTATGCACTATGATGAGATTAACAAAAAGACATCAGGAGAAAATGTCAACGTTCAGCTTCACTGGTCCATGTAGTCTGATAGGACAATCAGTTCCTGTCGGTGTGACACTGCTAACAAGAAGTCTGAGGAAACTAGCTTAAACATTACATCAATTAACTCTCATGGACTCCAGACATTAATCACTTCCACTTGGAAAGAGGCTCTTGAAATAATTTATTTAAAAATGAAAGATTTATTTTCCGATACTGAGGATGGAGAGTTGTAAAAACCGTAAGTCCATTAATAAACAGTCAACAATTTCAGATCACTTGGGTAGTTTATCTTCTTTTTCCTTTAGCCCAGGAATAAAAAAGCAACCATTTATTATACAGATCCACTAAAAAACAAAACACAATGGTCACTGAAATAACTTAAAATGGTAGTTAGCAGAGAATTAGCATTTTCTTCAAAAATGGTGTGAATGCTTAGTGCAGAAATATTTTTACAGGAACAAAAAAGAAAAGGTGGGCAAAAAATAAGCTGAAATTAGCAGGAAGTAGCTGAAAAATGCCACTGTATTAAGAAATACAAAGCTGAAGGCAAATTTAGCTGAAAAAAGCTCAAATTAGATGGAAACAGATAAAAATTAGATTAAATTGCAGAAATAAGCTGAAAGAACAAGACAAAAACTTCAATTAGAAGAAAATAGGGATGCTGAGTGTCTCTGATAATAAATAATATTTCTTTTTGCAATATATGGAGATGTTTGGGACTGTATATATATATATGTGTGTATGTATGAATG